CGAGGTACCATTTAGGCAGTCTCCCAACAATTTGTCTAAACCTTCATTAATCATTCCTAGTCACCCCCCCCCCCCTAACGTTGATTGTATGTTCTAGCTGTCGGTATGTTGTATTTATCTTTGTCATCAGCTGTGTTAACATACCCCGGTGTGGTATGGGGCAGGGAAAAGACAAGATATACAGAGAATCACCCACACCAAACACACATCATCACCCTGCATAGGTCAGGCTGGGCGAAAAACGAACTGCCCAATGAACTCAGGGGAACTGTGTCAGTTGCTGTGAAACGAGGAAGTATTCACTTTTTTCGTGGCATGGGGCCAACATGTAGCTGAATATAGAGTTCTAGTCAGATCTATTGGCCTGGGCACATTCGTTATAAGATCGTAAACCGAGGAAATTCTTGAGTTAGTCGTCCATGTGACGTATACAAATCTTGTTACAGAAAAGGCTATCTTGGATCCTTGTCGGCAGTTGGTTCTGCCAGTTACAACCTTCCTACGACATAACATCAAAGTCATACGACGACCTACGACAAATCGTGACCGCCATTAGCTCGGTTTTCGTGCGTGTAGTGGAAAGTATACATATCAATATACCCGTTTGTTGACATAATAATAGAGAGAAAAGAGTCGAAATAAGTAACAAAAGAATGTTTGGAAAGGGCGATGCGAATACTGAGTCTGTAAAATGAGTGTTTCGGTCTAGTTCGTTACAATTTGATTAAAGCGTAATTGTTATATTAGCTCATTGGTTGGGTATTTCGAGGTGAGAGAAATAATGGTAGGAGGGGCAGAAATATGTGGATTGTTTACCTCTGACGAAGTCGTCCGACAACATACATAGCTAAAAGAACGTCTATTACAAAACGTCAGTATGGGTCGATCTCACAACAACTGTCGTTTCGATCAATTATTTATTCACTAGATTCTAAACCAGGTTGAAGCGAACAAAAGATCGTGAATTTTTTTCTGAAAAGATTTCCTTTCCCCTATTATCAGTTTTGACGACTTGCCTAAAAAGAATATGATCACAGGTCAGTGAACTTTCGCGTGTTTATTATCAGCGCACGTATGAATGCCTTGAAGGTAGAACCGAACCGTCACCCCCTGATTATTCCCTGTGACGAATATATTTCTAGCTTCCATTGTGCAGTTGCCTGGCTAGTTCTGCCCCACGCGAACGCTGGAAAACATCTACGATGTCTGCCAGTAAAAGGCTAGACAAAGACGGAAGCTGTTGTGGTTGTGTTGGTCGGTAAAACCGTCCCCTCGGAGGGGTATGTGCCCTGTGGAGAGTGGGGTGTAATTTTGGTGACGGCAAATTAACCGGCTGCATACCGCACCGGAGAGGACAGGCGGGCGTTGTTTTCTGCTAGTTCACGGGATATACCGTAAAACCTAAAATATAACTTCTCTTCCTCAAATGTGTCTAGTAAAAAGTGTTGTGTTTTCGGTGGATCGTTCAACTATCGCGAGATTTTAGAATCGCAGGTTCGAATGGGTTCGTTCGAATGTCAGGTAATTAAGATTGACAGCAACTGTAGGAACCTTGACCTCAGCCTCCCAACTCCTGTCTGTGCTAATCATGGCATCTAAAAAACAAATCGCACGATCATGAGCATGACAATCCTACAGGTGAAACTACTAGTGTCCTGTCTTGTTCACATGAAACACACCATTTTACCAAGGACACAGTGTATCTGTGTATAATGTCCTTGATTTTACCAATGAATGACTCTTTGAATGAGCTGCCAAAGAAAGTTCATAAAACATGTTTTACAGTAGCTAAGATGCAACGATACTGAACTACGGTACACTTTCCAAGATACTGAAAAAAAATTGCGTGCAAAAAGGAGGACATTCTACCGTAACAGGTTCTATATAGCTCACTTTCTCCAGTCCCCATGGCCCAAAACACAGAAGTGCAGTGTGAATCATGTCTGAGAAGTGGGTTGATAGTTACAGGAGTAGGTGTAATTGATAGGAGAAGGTCACAGACCCGGCTACTGACGGCGCTTCAAGAGCCCAGCTGACTCACGGACCTTTAAATTAGTCGTCGAATAGCTAGAGCACTTTGCAACAAGTAAAGTATGTAACCGACGAGGGAATACATACTTCTTGAACGAGTCATGTTATTGAACTGGAACAATACAGAAGTGCATTACTGCATTATTTCTGAGAGAAAAAATAAGCTGTTTGGTTCCACTCTCTCATCTTTACGACGTGAAGTTGACAACTGGAAAGGCCGAATTGACCCCTGAAACCCCTTCCACATAAAATGGAAGGAGGTCAAAACTAGTCAGACGTTTACCTGACCTGCTCAATAAAATAGCCATATAAAAAGCAGGAGCTGGACACAAGACAGTAAAACTTGCACACACAAAACAGTTGTAAAAGCTTAGCTCGTATTTTGTTCTTGTAATTTTTAGCCAGTGCACCTGCTTCAAATCTACCTGTGCCTCTCCATTGGCACGGAGATCTAGCCTAGGCCTTGCTACTGTGTGTTCTTCTGCTTTTGTTCACCACACGATTCCAGCTAGCCCTCTCCAACTGGACACGTTTTTGCTTCCCTTATCTTAATCGTTTGTTTGGAATCCACCTTGTGATGTCGGTGTCTGGTGGCGTACACGCATGGTGGCACGTAGCCATTTAATTGAAAATTTTGAATGGCAAAGATAACGGATAAAACAACTTGCAACGTCCGTCCACAAAAAAAATCTACCACTGTTCCAACAAATCTGTTCAATCATTACGGTACTAAAATATATTTATATTCTTAAAGGTATGTTTTCTGGGGTCCAAATCAACTGCTACATAAACTTTAACAGTTCCAAAGTCTCTGAGATTTCAGCTGGCAGCTTGTCTTTAGCTTTAGGCTATCGGATTCGGCAGCGTTTATTTGAATAAATAAACACCCAGAAACATCTTACTAGGTTGGAATGCCGGTACGGGCCAGATTTCATTGTACACTGGCGACTGTAAGCTCCTGTTTATTTTTACACATTTTCGGTACAGTTACGGGATTATGCAAATCAGATGTTGTATCTGTTCATCTTTTCTTACACAAAGGTGTTGAAGAAATAATGGGGGACAATTAACAAGGTGACGCGAAGGAGTAGCTTGTTTGCGGAGGATTACCATCTTAATTTGGCACGCTGGTACGGGGATGTTATGTTTGCGACACTTCGAGTGTTTGAAGGCGAATAAAAAGGACGTCTTTGTTGTCATCACGTGACTTAAACCCGCGTCTTGTTCTCAAAGACGAGTGGATGTTTTTTTTTACTTTATTTGATTTGATTTACTCCTAAAGCAACATTGATGTTAACAAAGACGTTAGCCTTGATGCGAAATACGTTAAAACATCTAGGTATCTTGTTTTTGTAAACGTATGCAGAAAGGCGGTATAGCCTCCTCTGTACAGTAGCATTGACATACTCGTAAGCTGCAGTTCATAAGGCAGCATCTTCGTATAAATACCAAGTGCTTCCCACAAACGGCAAATCAGAATTTATTTGAATCATCTTGTCACACACAAACAAAGATTTTTTTGGAAAGCATACGTAAAATGGTTATATAGATCATTGGTTGCATAATTGTGAAATTTTTTGTCAAAAATAATTTGATGACTGCCAAGAGGGGTGACAGCAAAATTTCCCACACCGTAACCAATAATCATCCCCCCAATAGGACTTTATGGAATACCCCCTAGTCACAAATGACCATTAGATCGATGATAGGATTAGCCATGCTAGTCTCAGTACGCTATAGGCCTCATTTTTCCTATTGTGTAAAGTAGCAGTAGGAAAGCTCTACGTACAATGGCACGAAATCAGATATGTACAATGTGAAGATAATTTAGTTTGATAGATATGCATCGTTTGTTATCATGAGAACTGAGAGAATGAAGTATTTGGGCTTGAAGTTTCATTGTGTGATCTCGGTTGCACGTATTTTGATAGGTATAAGTTTATCATGTACATTTGTATATATATAGGAGTCGTTGTTGTGACCTCTAAGTAACCTTGTCAAAGCAATATGGATGAACGGCTGACATGATTATCAAAGTTCGCCCCGGTCAAACTGCACCGTGAGAGGATGAAATAATCTTTACTTGCTTCCAAAGAGCTTTGATCACAGTTACACTATTATAAGTTGAATGGCAATATATAGGAAATTGTGTGTGCACATAGCAATTCTTGGAATGAAATGTGTCGTTGTTGTATACATGTATGGTGTGAATGAACATGTTGTATGTGGTTGCTCCCTAGGTCTACGTCCCCACGGTGTTTGATAACTACAAAACCAGAGTCGACCTGGGCTCCAAACTGGTAGAACTCAACCTCTGGGACACAGCAGGTAAGCAAAGTCAGATTTTCCCATGTTTTCTGGCCAAATCCACAATATATTATCGAAGGAATGGTTGGAAAAGCCCATGCGTCACTTTTTAAAATATTTGTGTATGTCATGTCAACTTCTCTCTTTTTGTACACTTCCGTGTCCGTAACACGTATTCAATGTCAACTTCTTATCGCTTTCCTGATGACTTGCCCACACTAGGAACTGACTAAGGCACTCATGTATACTCTTATCTCACTTTATCATTTTAAAGCGTTTCCTTCACTTCTCCTATTGATAGCATCGAATGCGCCATAGCTCGAGTTACGATCTTCCCATGCTGTGTTCCTGTACCCACAACAAAACGCTTGCTCATCATGACTACTTGATGCTTCCTCCTCTTGTTTTCATTCGCGCTCATGTGTCTGCCATACTATATGTGTATACACGTTTTAGTATCTGACCTTCAACACACACCACCATTATCGTGAGTTTATCCTTAGTTTAAGCTGGATCGGTCCAACATTCGGCGACACGAAACGGGTAATCGGATTCAGGTTCAAAGGTCAGATGGATGTCCCGCTTTTTGAAGAGATTATATCTCTGGGTGGCACTGCCATCCATTTGTTTAAATACCCGATCAAGTGATTAGTAAATCTAGGATTAAGCTGAAGTGCAAAAGAAAGACAATAGTTATCGGGCCTTTAATACATTGTATATCTAGCGCACTATTGTGTATTACAATCCTATCTGAAATCTTGAACCTACGTGTAGCCTACTATGACTCATTTTTGATCATACACGTGTTATTCTTAACACTCTTGTGCAACTGAAGAATTTGTACAAGAAAGGCCCGAAATATTTCATGTGGGCGGAACGTGAGGATATTTTTCCCGCCATAATTGTGGCGGGAATTCCTGCGGTGTGTCACGGGTCACATGTGTACCATGGCGGCACCTGTGCGGTACGGTGCAAACACGCACCCCCTCCATTTGTGCAACACGATCGTCCGCTGTACAACAACTCTGTCTCTTTACTCGGGACAAAAATAGTTACTCGCTAAATCTGTGTGAAGACAGGTCTAGGTTACACCGTGGTTATGAAAGAGATCGGCTTACAGGCGGAAATTTATCTGGTTCAAACAATGTACAAGACTAGTGGGGAATATCGGAAGGGAATAAGTTTTTATCATGCCATCTTTTCGTGTGTGTTTTTTTTTTCGCCAGAGTTGGCCGTAGAAGAAGAAGACTTTTGCGGGCACCCCCTCCTCATTTTCTGTCAACATTCTACTAAAGTTGTGAAAACTTTGGATAACGTAAAATTATAGAACGATTTTGATACAGCAGAGGCAATATCTGCAGAAAACAGGCCCACCTCTACTGGCTCTAGTCCTGAAAAGCCTCTGTTAGACGATGACCTCCCAGGAAAAGAATTCAGCGGCACGTCTAAACACAACACTTTTTAAGCGGCATCGGAAACCGGGTATCACCGCTCCAGGTCAGGCCCGAAGTCCCGCTTTCAACGCCGTTGTACGGACCTGACTGTAGCGTCTAGTCTCAAAGGACCGGCTACAAAGGGCGACTTCCCATGTAATTAGCGTGTGCACCGTCCCGAGTGGGGGCTAAGGCCGTAGTATCGCCTCTCAGGGTCTATTTGTAAACATTTTACATGCATTCAAAGAATCCGTGTACACTTGCGTTCCTGTTGTTTGGAGAAAACTAGAACTGTATCGAAGTAGAAGCTATAAATCATGAGATCCCTTCTAGGAGGTTTAAAGACCTCTTTGTGTGCACTCTAACGTAGCCTGGCGATTCCCTGTAGGTAATCTCACACCTGTAAGCTTAGAGGTCGCCTTTGAACTTCTCAAGCATCAGCGCAGATGTTAACGTTACATTGCCATGCGGTCATGGAAACCAACCGCAACGAACTCTTCCTACCGCCATGTTGGATAGAGTGTACAGCCAAGGAAGTTCTGTCATCACACACGTGACGGTGCTGAGAAACGATCTTACGTCAATGTGTGATTCCTTCACTGACAGAAATTTAATTTTGATACGAATGGAAGTTTGAGACAGCAGAAATTGTTAGACGTTGGAACTTGTATATCTGTAACATTTGACAATTCTTTTGAATTTTCTTCACCAAAGTTTGGTGAAGTTCATTGCCGATGTAACAGTGGTTTTGAGCTGTTCGTAAAGCTGTGTGCGACCTGTTTTTGAGTCCCCCGAAACACTTCCTCTTGCAGATCTAATTTAAAAGTTGCTTAGACGATGGCTTATGGAGCATAGAAAGGCGATAAGTCTGAGCACAAGGCTACTGATTGACACGCCCAAGACGTGAGACCCGGCGTCTTAACCGGATGAAGAACTTGGCAGAATCCCAAGGATATCTAGGACGGCCTGGAGACAGGTGTTGACCTCTTGTCACGGCGTTAGAGCCTACACAGATCTGGTCTCTTCTACTCTGGGGCTATGAGCTCCCAATTGTAAAGGGATTCCGTTTGAATGACATTTTTTATCATGACAATCACCTTGTGGTATTATGGTTGTCCGCCCAGAAACAGCTTTGATCTAAAGCCTTACCTTTGATTTGGACGTTGCACCTGATACATGAGTGACGGAAGGGGCAGTAACCACAGATTGACAGGAAGGTCAGGCCATACAGCTAGTGCTTGTCACTGAGGTACTAGTACTCAATTAGGGCTTGTCACAAGTTGGGTTCGCGCACTTTCGGTTCACGAGTCCTGTCCTAGGTGTACATACGTCAGATACTTCACGGAGGTTTGAGGTCTCTGATTTCTTGTAGAGACAAAAATTTTGTCCTACTGCGAGCCTTTACACCAATCTACGACCCATTCCCACACTACATTTGTTACCTCTCACATGGCGTCTGTTATTGTAGGACTTACTCCACATCCGATGCTTGGGAACATTTCCATGAGCAGTAAAGCCTACGCGGAGACATCAGACGTAACTCCCTATAGCTGGCGTTAGGAGACGTTTTAGACCGGGGTGTGAAGCGATCACGTCTGAGAGAAAAGAAACAAACCAGCGGTTGTTGTGAACAAGGACCACCTTTGTGTGTGGAGCTGTATTTATATCTGTGTCAGTGGAAATTTTAAGTATCAGGTGAAGACATCAAAGCCACCGTTACGGGCCCACACTAGCTCGTATTGAGGATCACTACACTGCATGACGGGGGAGAAAGGGGATAGGCTACGGATGAAGGACCAAGTGGGGTGGCATTAGATGGTTTCCGGTGACGCTACGTCCACGCGAAGCGTTCAAATCCTAACCTGTTTAGTCCTCTGCAAGGACGAAAGAGATTCGGCAGCAGAAATCGGTTTGGTAACCAGGCTATACACAGGTCCACCACAACTCACTCAGTCCTTTAAAAAGATCGATATATCGATATTTACAAGAATACTTGGAGCGCCCTAGTTCTTCATCGAACAGCGAAAGTAGTGGATATCAATCGAGTCATCTATAATTTACTATGCGGAACGGATGAAAACGTTCTTGAGCTATGGAGCACTTTCGAAGGAGTTGGATGGCCAATTTTAAACGATTTTGGGTTGGCATTATTTAGGTCAAGCACGTATTTCAACGACTCAATCATGGCTTATAAATGATGAATGTTGGACTTGGTAATAAGGGTCTCTGATCGAAGGAAGGAGGATAATGGATATAGATATTAAATGGTATACTGTTTTTATACGCTTTTCTAGCACGTACGTGACAACGATCAAACAATAACTTTGTTTTCCATATCATAGTCAGATGCAACGTTAGCGTTAGCACCTTTACAACATTCTAAACAGTTTTCTTAATAAGTACCAGAGTTTACATTCTGTTGAGTGAACGGCTTTCTTAAGTCGTGATAACTTGGGTGGCATAAGGAGCAGCATTCCTTAGGTGCCCTTTAAATCACTTTCCAGACGGTGCTGAAAGTTGTCACTCCTCCAGACACACTCCCCTTCTCCCCCCAAGACGCTCTGATTTCAACAAACCCCTCCACCAATGACGTCGGTTCATTCACCCGTAAACATAGCCTTAACGTTTTTTTAGCTGTAAACATAGCCGATCATTTGGTTAACGTTTACAGCCTTTCATCAGCATGTATCGGTCAAGTGTGGATACCGAATAAGGACATTTGTAGGTTGCATATTAGAAAGCTATGGCAGTAGTGTGACGTATTTCAGAACGAACTAAGCAAAGGAGGTTCTAGTCAACCTACTTGGATCAGCTTGCGGATACTGACGGGTAAACAAGCCCCACCACTAATCCTAGATGACAGGCACTCACAAATCACAAGTGTCAACTCAACACGTGGCCATATTTACCCTATACTCCCCTAGAAATAACGTTGCGAGGTATTTTACACCTGTCCCTTAGTTTTTGTAGAGTTTCTAGAGAATATGACTTTAGTCTCAACTTTCAGAAATATTACATCGTCATGCAATCTTTGAGATGGTGAAACAGCAAAAGAGGAATTTCGCTGTTGGTATAGTTTGGCATGAAGAGAGTAGTATATCTCATCACAGGTGTCGATCTCGTAATTTCTCGCGTGACAGGGAATCAAGGCGTGACGACAGACGATATTAGCGCCAATATCCACCGGTGATCTGAGGAATTCTCTCCCACATCTGGTTTGAGGCGGTTGCGGGTTTGGTTTCTTCCAGATGAACCCATCTTCCCTACAGGTGACACGAACGGGACATCTTGACAGTCTTTCAAAAACCATGAGAGAAAAAAAATCGTGTATGTCTGCGAGAAAGATTGAACAGAGCTTTTATTTTGTACATTTGTAAGATACCACCCAATCATATCCGGGTTCACATACACTGCTATCTTTATAAATGTGAACTTTTTGGCAACGCCCCTAAGGGTGGATTCATGACACATCATGTCTGATAATATTCCCATTGCAACAGACTTTTGCGGTGATACGATATATTTACTGCAGTTTTCAACCATATCTGATTGTTCCCGAAACGATCAAACAATTGAGAGTAAAATAACAAAAGAAAAATAAAATCGGAGAATGATATTCTGTGACGTTTATATGACTTCGTTGACCTATCCAAATTATTCCATAATATTAAGTATTTCAATGATAATGATGGATTTAAAGGGCCGTTTACGTCACTAATAACTCTGAATACCTCGTAAAATGTCACCTGAGGGTTGTTTACATTCTGACATCACGAGAAGACCGTATCCAGGCCATACCTGCCTGATCTCTACAAAACACAGAGAAAAACAGCCCCGGGGACTGAGAGAAGGAATCGGTGAAGAGGAAAGTTCAGAAAGGTGAAATAGCACATTTGTTTGTGGCGTCTCAAACAGACAATAGCAGGATAAATCATTTGGAAAGAGATCCTTAAATCGTGGTGGCGCATGGGTACTGCGCACGCGGGGGGCACGAATATTTCACTGTGTTTCTCTGCATTGTCGTTCAATACTACAGAGGATAGCGCTTATGCTGGAGTTCAGCAAACAAATAAACAAACAAACAAACACACAAACAAACACCAACCGGGGTAGTGCCGTGCGTTCAGTTTGGACAAGATTTCTGATTAGTGAGCCGTGAATACTGGTTTGGGCTTGGGTTTAGAGAGCCGGGATTATGACTGGTTTAGGTTTGGGTTTAGGTTTAAGTTTGGGTTTAGATTTAGCTTTGGGTTTAGGTCCCGATGCACAAACCCACGTATTTTACTAGAGAAAGTTTGAGAATAGAATGTGAAAACGACCCTTCACTCAAGGCTTTCGGTGATACCCGATACTCGTGTTCTTGTCAGATCTCTTGCATGTTGCCTTTCGCCATCTTGCGCACTGACAGACAAGCCGACAGGAATGTCCGAACTCACGGTCGGCCTCGCTCGACAGCCCGTCAATCCGCGCCATTACAACACGGCAAACTCTGGAGCGTTCCGTAGGGTCTAAACTTAGGCACGGGACATTGCAGGGATAACAGGGGCAGGGATATAACACTCTCGTCCGGACCCGTCAACATGCCCGCAGAGTGGGGAACCGGATAGTCTTGTCTGTCCATGGATATATGTTGTCTCATAACTCAGTCTTGTTTCTAAAAACTAGTTAGATTTTAAAACTGTAGTCTAAATTCAGCCAAGCAGCTCACCAGAATTTTGCGATTTTCCAAATTTGAAAGTCTTGTTTCAGTACAGTTCGTTGTTACCGTGTCAAGTTTTAAACTAGTTTATAATTTGTGCTATATGTATGTAACGTTAGTACTATGTACTGTATGTGTCCAAACTCTGGGATGCGAATTTTGCTGCAAATTCCGACACAGTTGTTGCGTGCTGTTCACTGCTCAAGTGCACGTGAACTTGGGTGCTAGCACCACTGCCGTGACGTCATAATCAGACGACAGGGGAGTACTACCGGTTTCCGGCTGCAAGGTTATGAACGTCAGAGGATGTGGTCTGTGGTCGGGTTTGTTACTTACGTCAAGTAAACAAACCTAACCGGAGACAGATATAAGGAACGTCCCAATACACAAATACTCCCCTTCCTTTTTATTCATCATGCTATTTTAGATGCCTATTCACATGATATAATAGAAATGTCCGGAATAGCTTTGTCATAATAGAAGCTTATATTGTTCGTATATCCTTACATCAATATTTATGTACATTAACCACAGAATGAACTTCTGTTGTTGTACACAAATGCCTCTATATACACCGAAATTCTTGAAGTCTGCGAAGCCCGTTCGAGCTAAATGTTATCTAGAGCTAGCTAACGTTGGTTAGTAGATAGATATCATACGAGATGTGTGTATAGGAAATACTAAACATGTAAAGTATAAACTGCGCGTCTTTTAGTCTTTTACACATCACTTATTCCGAGAATCCATGAAATTAGGTCATCGCAAGCTATTCATCTCAATATTTGTTGAAAGCTGTAATCATCCATTGTAGTCGGTGTCCTGTGACAGTGGGGAGGGGGGCATATAGGCCTTTAATCGGTCTGGCATTGATGGAATGTTTTCGTTTGAAGACGATTCAGGCCGCCCATTGTTCACTTTGCTCCTTCACATCGATTTTTTGCAAAGGTTTTACCTGGACCAATCTAGAACATCCATCTATGCCCCATTAACCTGAGCCATCTTCAGTCTGTCAATATTGTTTTATTGTCCATGGGTAGGTAAATCCGTGAAATGTTGCCCCCCCCCACACACACACACAAAAGAAAGAAACACACATACAATTGCTCTGTTGCAATATAATCGGACATATTAAAAACAGTACCCTATTTACTACTAGTACTTCAAAATTTCCCCGCCCTCTACCGGCCCCTCTTGGTACGTCCCAAAGTTTCTGTCCCAGTATTTTTCCCGCGTGTTTTTCTTTGATCCCGAGGCTTCGCAGACTATCTACAACCTTACACGGGGTTCCAGTTGCACTGTTACATACAGTAGACCTTTCTTCAGGCTCACTATACATGGCGCGTGTTGAAATCCTAAAAATGACTTAACTCAATTATCAGCTAGCCAATAGGAGAGAAGAATGCGACTGTTTTCTTTCTGACGGTACCGTTTTCTTCCTGTACATCCTCTGAAACTTCTTCATCTATGCACGTTCTGTCTGCTTTGAACTGTCTATTTTTATAGTACACTTATTGTTGTGTGGTGTCATATATTGTTGGCTCCTGTTGACCTTTCAACCTCTATAGAACGAAGACGAAGTGTCAAATAAAATTAATCTTTAGTTGCTTTGTTTTCAAGGTCAAGAAGACTACGACCGGCTGAGACCGCTGTCCTACAACGATGCTGACGTCATCATCATCTGTTTCGACGTGTCGTCACAGGCGAGCTTCGAGAACGTCGAAGTTCGGGTGAGTTAGGTGGGATGGAGGGAGTTGTTGAACGGGAAAAGGAGGAGTGGAGAAAGATTGAAATGCGAAAAGGGGTGAAATAGGGATTTTTATTAACTAAAAAGTTCAACTAATCTTGAAATAGAGTAGATTACGTACCCTTAAAATGTAAATTCCTACTCTGCAATAATTGCACACTTATTCGGCTCGCCATTATTCAGCCAATTCTCGCGAGATTTGAAAATGGAAAGAGTGAAATAAGGGATTTTCATTAACTGAAAAATCCAACTCATCCTAAAATACAGTAGATTACGTACCCTTAAAATGTAAATTCCTACTCTGCCAATAATTGCACACTTATTCAGCATGCCCCATTATTCAACCACTTCTCGCGAGATTGATGACGTCAAAGGTACCGGCGTGATGACAGGGTTTACAGGTGATGGGTCCGCCAATCAGTGGCGATCGAAAGGTCAGCGCAAACCCCAGAAATAGGTGAATAACCCTGTCAACTGACCATTAGTGACAGATATTGCCCCGCGGCCCGGTTGTCTATCACTAATAGTGATGAAGTGACCATTCCGGTTTCGCCTCTATTACAGGTACTGGAAACAATATCCTATTACATTGCAGTACTGGGAACAATCTGCTATCTTTCCGCCAAAGGCGTTGTTTTCTTCTCCAAACCCGGTGTTTCTTAGTAATGGTTTCAGATCTGATTTGATACATAATACTGTACCCCAATAGACGTCTAGTGTAAACTGAGTATGCCTTTGCGGCGCCCCCTTCTTATAAAGAGCCGCTACATAGAGCAAACGATGAATAAATACCATCGATAATATTGTTTTCACAATATCAGAGGTTTTTTTACGTAATTCAATCCTGTAAAAGGAATGCACTATCATGATAGTGATGCCCCCATGTTGAACAAATTCACAGAGCCCGAGCTTGACGTAAACAAAACATATTTTTTGCCGTCAGGTATTTGGGTCAGAGTAATTTGTTCTGGTCGTTTGGAATACACCATACGGGCCTGGTGTTGTTCCGAATCGGAGGCGTTAAAATTCCACGGTTAGTTTTACTCCCGACCCTAGGGACCAGAGGTCTGTAAATACACCTGTTCTCCATTACGGTTAGGTGGAATAATAAAGGCTCAGAGTTGACGTTAGGGTTCAGAGATACAGAACGGTGGGGGCAGTTCGTCTTCTGCAAACATCACATGTCTTGGTTTTTGTTTAGTTTTCCACAACCCAGTGCACTAGTACCTGTCAATGAGAAAAGTATGCCTTACTTTTCTAGTATGCCTACTAGAGGAGAATTCACATTTAAGCGCTGTGTTCAAAATCTTGGCAATATCGTGTATACTTGTGTCAGCGGAATTTTGAAATGTCAAATAGTAATACTGTACCAGTAAACTGGAGTTATCGCAAAAATGTTCAACAACAGCGTCTGAAGTATTTCAGACGCCACCTATTAAATGAGGAAATAACTAGAGTTCAAAAACATCTTGTCAACGGCTTCAGTTGATCTTTTGTCAAATTTCAACACATTTTAGCCGTTGTCACATAAAATAATAGTGTGCGTTTAGATTCCTTGATGTTAAGTGTCAGCGTGTCATCCACCCCCAAAGCTGTGATTTATACTCTAGCACGTGCAGAACTTAGCCAGGCAGACTGAAGTGGTCGTACAGAAACGTGCCGTCAGCAAGGTTGTGAGGATTGTTGTACTGAGGCAGGAATTCAGACCATGTGTGGGCCGGGCTCAGGTCTGACTGGTTATCTGCAGGGGTGGACGCGACTAATTGGAAAAGGGAGGAGAACCCTGTCACTTTGACCTTGTAGACCAAAAAAAATGGCGGCGCACCTTTCAATACTAACCTCCCTTTGGGAATATCAAAGATGTAGGAGCCGGAATATACCGAAAGTTGTTTCGGAGTTATTTTCTGGTCATGCTTCTCGTAATAGATCGTAATAGTATGACGATATTGCAAGGTGGACGCATTTTTATGTACATTAAACGGAGCCCCCTGTCGGTTGACATTGACAAGTGCAGGAGACATACGAGAAAAAGGTTTTGTTATTACACCATAGGGGCAGCAAAAAAGGGTTCTGTATTACGAAAGACCATAGGAACAAAACGTAAAACAGACGACAAGCTTAAACAGACGACGAGCTTAAACAGACGACGAGGTTAAACAGACGACGAGCTTGCTTAAACAGACAACGGGCTGGCTTAAACAGACGACGAGCTTGCTGAAACAGACGATGAGCTTGCTGAAACAGACGACGAGCTGAAACAAACAACGAGGTAGCTGAAACAGACGACGAGCTGAAGCAGACGACGCGCTAAAACAGAAAACAAACGATAAACAGTATACAAAACAGAAAGAGAGAACATGAACTGGATTTTGACGACAATGTCATTGTGTCCTTATTGTCTGTGGATTCTTCTTCATAAATGCAACAATGATGAGCTCAAATGTTGCCTGAAGTCAAGGCAGTTTTTTCGAAGGTTGAAACTCGGCAGTACGTGCCACCTCACCTGCTCCGGGATATTGAACTAATCTTCAAAGGGCAAAACAACTGTATCCCCTGGAATCTGGGGTCAACCTACAAGGGCAACATGGCTGCAAATCTCACCCCACATGTGGGCTCATTTCCGGGTACCGTTTGGAGAGAATTTACGCTATGCCGGGTCTGTCTATAAATCTAGTTCAACGTCAGTTTTATAGCTCCAAATACAGGAGAACTTTGGAGAATTTCTCGTTCGTCTGAATGTTTCTCACGCTACAATGAAGGTCAAAAGTTCTGAAGACTGGCATTTTTCAATTACATAACGTATCCTCAAGGCACTTCGGCGAATGAGTTTAAGTACATGTCACGTTGGCGGAACAATGCATTGAACATTTTCTTGTCAAAGGAGTCACGTTTCAAGGTTCACAGAAAGTACAAAGATTCTTTTTCGCTGTTTTTTCAATTACATAACTTATCCCCGAAGTGCTTCGGTGCGAATGACTTTAAATATATGTTACGTTGACAGAAAACGAAGAGTGCATTAAAAAAAAATATTTTCTTGTCGAAGAAGTCACGTTTCAAGGTTCACAGAAAGTACAAAGATTCTTTTTTTTGGGGTGACAAATCGAAGGTGTGGTCCTTTATTCGGTATGTACGGAATGCCCCATACTAATAATTACAGAACTGTAAAATCGGTAAAGACTCTTATTTTCTATCCAGGCTATTTGTTCGTCCTTCTCCCAGAGCGGAGAGACCTTGCAAAGCTGGAATCTAGCCGCGCTACTAAATTGTCTCCAGACCCGGGTACAAACGATCCAATAACCTGCAATTATGAAGGCGGTATGTCGCTCCCCCCGCCAGGCATACAAAAGGAAGTGATCATTTTCCAAAGGTAAAAGTCTAAACGTGTGTTTTGATATTGCTTAACAGTTTCAAATCGTGACAACCATGTTTGTCTTCTACAGAAAATTTTGCAAGTAAACATTTGGTGGTCAAATCGCTGTTGCTACGGGTTCCGATTGGAATCTTGTGACAGCTGGTCCACCGCCTTTGTCAGTGGCAGTACGAAATTGCTTCAAACTGTTTCTCCCAAACAATAGCCGGAGAACGGCCTTTTCTCTGTCCTGACTGTCTCCAGATCGTTTCCGAGTTCGACATCTGCTATGCCTTTTCTTTGTGCTACTACAGCAGCTGGTCTGACGAAATAATATGTTTTTTTCTTGGCCCACGAACTGTCCCACTTGATTACATCGTAACTTGAACTTGCAGAATTACATGGTGAAAAAAGTCCAGCTACAATTATGTTTTTTTTCTGATACATCATAACATATGACGATTGACAACAATTATGGTGATGATAATAATGGTTATGATGAAGATGATGATCAAGACCGTAATATTGGTAAAGAAATTTCAAAGGTCATTGCATGAAATCCAATATTTAAACATAACTAAAAGCATACGTAAATTTCCTAAGTCGACTAAAGAATGGAACCTTTACACATTCTTTAAGCTATGGATGCAATGTGTATAACGTATGCTTTCTGTCTCCCCAGTGGGCCCCTGAGATCCGGCACTTCTGTAAGGGCATCCCCATCTTCCTCATCGCCTGTAAGTCGGACCTGCGGAACGACAGAAACACGTTACAACAGCTGGCGTACAGAGGACAGGAGCCGGTGTCATATGAACAGGTAAGCAACTATAGAGGCATTCATACTCTGTTACCTATCGTTGGTTTCTTTTGAACAGTCCATGTGTTTGTATATGTTTGTCTGTGTGTGTTCGCGTGCGTCCACACGTATAACCTCACAATAGACCACAAAAAGGTCAGACACAGGAAATGGGGTCCCAGAATCCAGCATGAGAGCCAGTAGGAACTTGGCAGGTAGTTGGTAGCAATGTGCCAGTGTGAAAATCCAGACGAAACCAGAAAAATTCACAATGAACATAGCAATTGCAAGGAAGTCAAAGAATATTTCACGGAGGTTTGAAATCTCCGATTTCTTGTTTATCTTACAATGCTTTATTATACGGTTTGGCAAACTGTTCTGTTGTGCTAATGTGACCTTTTTAACCTATTACGTGACTATAACTGCAGAGTCATGAGACGCCTCTGGTGATATTTCGTAGTTAAAGGAGGCACCAGACTTTCTATTTTTGTAACCTTGCCATTGTCATCGGTCTTCTATTTTGATGGCATATATAGCAATTTATGCCATTCCTTTATGCTGACTAAATCTCTAAAAATCCAGGCTTGCACGAGTCCATACAATCAACGCCCAAACATATTTTCTGCTTTGTTAGTCACACACAATGTCGGCTCATACATGACTTTAAAATTGTGAGTGTGACTAATGAGTAACGTAATGAATATCGGTAACTTCAGACACGTTGACACTTGTTCGACAAGTTTTACCACTCAGTGATGTGACACAGTCACGCGTTATCTGAAGTTATTAACAACTCAAACCGTTAATAAACACGTCGGAATGTATGCGGTTAATTAGGCGTTTTAAACGTGCGTGTGTGCCTCGATAACAAGGCACGCGTGAATGAACTTCAGTCTTGTTTTCTTTTTTTCAATGAAAGGGAACCATTGTGTCACGGCCGGGCCAATTATATTGTGATTATAGGATCAAACCGTCGTTTTAAGGCAAATTTACAAATAGCTGACGGTCACACACGTCGATTTTGATGCTGTGAAATTTTCAAGCAGGCTGTGGCAGACCCAACCACCGACAATGGATCACAAAGATCTGAGAAAACTCCGTAACAAGACAGCAAGATTTTGTAAGACACAGTCACGACTGTCACTCAGTTTCGAAGGACGATCGCACAAGTTTGTGACCGAGCCCTTGCCCAGTGCTGAAACGCCTTCCATAAGATAAAGTCGAAAAGTACTGTCAAATGATAACTCGTTCCTTATTGTATGTAGAGTCTCAGTATAAATTACACATTATCTGTACATATCTCAATAGACTAAGTTACACGTTACGTCGGTGAAGGTTAGAAATCCAGGTAATAAGATACGCCAAAAAACTGACACTAGAGACTTGCAATAGTCAATAGTTCATGCTTATAAGCCTGCCTTTCTCCTGCAAGTCTCTAGTGTCACTGACAAAAGGTAGTGGATGCTACCTAAAACGTCTGACCGTTTCCAAAATCATATCCAGTTGCTTGTTGCTGTTTTTTAGCGTTAGTTACGCAGTATATTAGAATTCCTGTACTTATAGCTGTTAGATATTTCTAACCAGTTTGTTTTTGTATTCACCAGGGAATGGCCTTGGCCAAGAGGATCAGAGCACGTGGGTACATGGAATGTTCCGCGAGATATGGCGAGAACTTAGATCACGTGTTCCTGACGGCAGCGAAGACAGCAGCAAATGTACAGACCAGAAGACACAGAAAAATCAACTGTACTTTACTTTGATGTGTTATATGGTTAATGTATGTGTTTTTAAGGTTGTCATATTGTCTCAGATAGAACTTATGTACAAATAATGTAGTTAGATATGATATATGTGAAAAAAGTTGATGGCAATAATGAGTAAATGAGTCACATGGAAAATCAATTTTGCATATGGAAGAGTAACTACAGTTAGAAAACATCCATGAAATATAGTTGGGTGGTTTCACAGAATTTCTTTGTTGGTGAACACAACCATCTAAAAACACAACTTCTATACTTTTTACTGTTTATCATGGTATTTGAAATGTTTGTAAAGAAATCTTGTGTCTTATTTGGCTTTACGTTTCTGTACAAGCAGGCATCATGTACTAGCTCAGAAACCTCATTTTCAGTATTGAAACTATGAATGCATTTTATTTCAATGCCACATGGCCACTGTGTATGTGAACTGTGCAGGACACAGGGATATTTTCATTAGTTTCACAGTGCCATGTAACATTGGTTTCAGCATTCTTGTTCATAAAATTCTCATTTTGTTTGGCACACTTTAATAGAGTAGGTGTGTCCCTTAACTACATGTACTATCAGTGCAACTGATTGTGTAGCAAAGGTACTTTTGCTACCAGTTTCTGAGCATCTATTTTTCAGAAACTCATTTTTTGTCTGCAACCCCTTGGTGTCATGCTATACTAGGTCATGGGTCAAATGTTATAGGTTAAAGGTCATGAACCACAATGTATAAATGTAGACAACATGAAACATTGCAAATATTGCTTATTTCCTTTACTTCATCCTTTACTTGAAGATACACTTGGTACATAAGATTAAATATATTACATCATGGCTTCTTAGTTATTATGGTTGCATTCAACTTTGTTGGCATATTTATTATTATCATAAAACCACTTGAACCATAAATTATTTTCTACATATTAAATTCAGCATAAAAGATTGCTGTGGTGAATTGTCGTTTTTTGTGAGATTCCTTGTCCAATAGGAATGTCATCATCACATTTAATTGTCCGTATAATAATTTTAACATTTTCTAAGTAGGTAGGTATCTTAACGTACATGTAGTTTGAAATGGTAACTGGCAACAAAAATCTTCACTGCAAATGCAAAAGTAACAAATCGCAACAACTTGTGCACTTACAAAATGTTGTGCACCACACATGCACACAAATCAGGCACAGTTTTGCAACAATGACAGGACTTGGCTTACACAAAAAAAACTGGACCATTTTGCTACGAACCATGCAAAATTTAATGATTATTTTGCTGATTTTTAAAAGTCACACACATTGCTTGGTGCCGTTTGTGTGTTGCATAGTTTTAGAACAATTTGGTGCAGTATTATCTTGCTCAACACAACTGTTGGAAATGGCAATATACATGAACTACATTGGCAAGATTACTCGTTCCAGTATGTGCTGCAAATAATGACTTGTGATTGGCTGATGTAGTCCCTGTGCTTGTTGAGCTTTGTGATTGGCTGGTCTAGTCCCTGTGCTAGTGAAGCTCTGTGATTGGCTGATCTAGTTCCTGTGCTGGTGAAGCTGATTGGCTGATCTAGTCCCTGTGCAGATGGATCCCTCCACTGCCAGGTTTCTTGAACTTCTCCAGCTGGTACAGGCTCTGGCGCCTGAGACGCTGCTCGTGGCTCTTGTCGCCGAGCTTGTTGACGACCGTGCCCCACGTGCTGATGGAATTTCCCAGGAACAGGACGAAAAACGTTGCACTCATCATCAGAACCTGAAGGGGGTAGAAATGTATTGTTTTGATATTTGTACATATTGCCTAACTATGAAGCATTAGAAACATACACTAGTGTGGTCAGGCATCAAGACCAAAGTTCCCTAACTCAGTGGTGTCAAGTGTCAGCAATAGTTTTTGGAGGACTATAGACTCCTGTGTCTGTTTTGCCTAACTGTGCTTAATAATGCCACTGTCTCTAAACCACATCTGAATTTGGTCCAACCCTGTATCAAGTTTTCCCAAGCAGAAATGTTCTTCGTCAGAAAAATACAGTCGGACTTGTGTCCTGCCCTGTGATGGAGTTTTGATGCAGGATTATCAGTTGACAGTTAGTTAACCTATAGTGCCATCTAGCAGCCAGCCTGAACACTGCAGGTTTCACAACTGAAACAACCCTTACCTGCCATTCCTCACACTCAGGAATCCGAGAGAGCTGGTATAGGGTGTAGGCATTGTACAGCTGGAAGAACTGGAAACAAAACAACAAGTAAGACTCAGCAACGGATCTTGTTAAAATATGTGGTCTTTTTAATGCTCTCAGTACTTGAGCAAAGACATGGGTACAACATTAGCTTCCCATCTTATTGGTATGGTAATTCATAAAATTGTTGGACATCTTGTGTTGCTGAGTATTATGGGATGGGGTCAGAGGTGATAAGGTGAAGGGTTACCATACTCACATGTCCCAGGTACACAAAAGGAAGCAGGAACTTCAGACCCCTCCACATCCAGGTCTGGAAACCCTCTAGGTAAGAGAAGAGAAGATAGTTTGCTCATGTGGCATTCATATACTTACATACCACATTGTTGCTTCTGTTGACTCTAGCTTGTACTTAGTGGCATGCAGTTAACATCTCTCAGGTTTATTTCTGTTACATGTTTTCAGCAGTGCTTATAGGAAGTTAGATTCAGGAGGTGAGGATATACGATAGATCTCTGCTCCACATTTTTGGCAATGCCTCAGGGGTGGTGCCATCTATGACAGTTTGTACTTACCCACAGTGATGTCCATATTGTGCCTCTCTCCTAGTGCCCTCAGCCTGTACAAACACCCACTCTGGTAGTAGTACTGTAGGATCTGTACAAAACCTAACAGAAGGAGGACACACTTCATTTAGACTCTTGCCTACTAAGTACTATCAAACATGCTTGTTGACACGTAGCTGAGAAGTTGTTAAAGCTTGATAGGCTTATCCTATGGTAGGAATAGATTGATCCTAGCATAGCTCCTTGTATCTCCATCAAAACATATGCAAACTAGAAATGCAAACATATAATGGATATGCAGCCACTCTCTCATTGGCCAAACTGCTAATTGCCATGCTGCCATTGGTTGAAATGCTAATTGTGATGGACAGTCAGGATCAGTCTATAGTACATGATAAGGCAAAACCTATCCATGAATACATACTTAAGTAGATGGAAAAGTCCATGTACTGATCTCTGAAGAGATGATAGGTGGTACTGTCAGGCCAGGTCAGGCCTACACCAGTCAGGTAGGTGGAGATGTAGTGATGGGCCACCCACCAGCCCTTGATTCTACACAGGAAAATGAACCAAAACAGATCAACGTAGTTCTTAAATAATCAGCAACATACACTAATATTGAAAAAAAATATTGTAATGTAACTGTTTGTTGTAAGAGATTGAATCTGCATTACTCATACACTGATACAGCAAATAATGGTTTGGAATACACTGTACAGCTTTGAAAATCTAAGTCTCACATAAAGGTAGATATGTACTTACCTGGACCCATTGACAATAAGGATGCTCTCCCTCAGGGTCAGTGTACAGTAGTACCACACCAGCAGGAAATGGAAAATGGCATCACCAACTCTGAGGAGAAAAACAGGTACAGAAATCATCATCAAACAGTTAATATAATATTGTAACATGTATCATGAGACAGTTAATATTGCCTAAGCCTAATGGTAAAAGCTCTAAAGTGGGGATAACAAAACAACCAAAGAAGGGAATCAGTTTTCTATGTTTTACGTACCTGGACTCCAGAACGAACCTCAAGGTTAAGGACAAAAACAGCATGATGATCGTCATGACAAACTTGAACTTTTCATACTCCTCCTTATACCTGTGCCTGAAACACAAACAAAAATCAGACAATCAGACAAACAACCTTCAGTATCTTGCCATGAAATATGACATGAACTTTTGCTAAGCCTATCTGAACTTCAATAGAGTAGCTGATTTTATAGTGTGCAATCTAGGATGTATACAAGGGAAATGGGGAAATTCTCTTACATCTGGACATTGATAAATATTACGAACATTGACAGCAGTTTATTATTGACCTCTAATGCAATAAAGAAAAGCTGAACAAAAATATGTATGTTTGTGCTTACTTGGCAGACTTGCTGAACATGGTGACATTGATGTGTCCCAGGGTTGTGTTCAGGAAGATGCTGTGTTTGGGGAGGAATTATGGTATGTGTTAAAGGGGCTTAACGTTAACACAATGCAATGTTACAGCAATATTGTACTCACTCTTCTTGTGTATTTTCATTTCATGATAGTTACTGTAATTTTTTATATTTTGACAGGGCTGAAGTGTACATATAATACACATATAATACACATACCCAGCTACAGGACATACATTACATGTAGTCTTTGTCTCTGAAACATTGTACAATACACACCTGCAGTAAAATGTAACAAAGGTCTCTCACCCATTGTCTTTTGGTAGGAAAGCCTCAATCTCTCGGAACACCTCATTTCGTTCCTTCACCTTTTCTCTTATGTCCAACACTTTGTGCCTATATTCTGCTGGAACATCGCACCTGATATGAAAATATATCATATAAAACATCAGAAATTCACTGAGAAAACACTGATGTAATTAGCGATCATATTTCAGAGCAAAGAAACACTGCCAAAACTTGTTTTTAGCCTTTTCAAAATGTTGTAAATTGTTCACAAATGTGAATTAGTTCTCTGTGTAGAAATCGTCTTACTCCTGCAGTTTTTCTGATAACTGCAAGAGGTCCTTCCTCTGTTTCTTGATGGATGTTCCCAGCTTGTTCTGCAGGTTCTTCAGTTCTTCCACCTTCTGTTTGTAAGCTTTGTGTTCCTCCTGTCAAAATAAAGAGACATTCAAATTAAGTCATTATCCCTTAACAACATAAACATTTCCCTTGAAGTCAGAAATCTGTATCGGCTTGCTATTTTGTGTTTGAAAAAAAAAGATACAATGTAAATACAGTTGTTGTGGTATCTCAAGCAAAGGTTAGGATAAATTAGAGCACTTTGAGAGATAAAACAACAAAGCACTTCACTCAATGTAGGGCAGGTTTATTAGGCCGGAACAAATAATGATGGAAAGGTCAACAAAAGTTGTATTGTATAGTCAACTGGTGCCATTGCTTTTGCAGTACAATGTACATAAACAAGTGCACATTTCAAGATTACACAGAGATATTACTCTGTTGGAATATAGAAAAAGATTTTTTGTTGTTGCTGATGTTCATATTGGCCAACAGATTTTGAAACTAGGTCATTTTGAATCCAAAGAATGTTCAGCACAACCTCACCTATCTAGATTTCTAGATAACATTATGGGGGGTGGCAAATGCTGAAGTTACCAAGAACGACAGATTTCCTGTCCAGGGGAAACCCTTTTAACTGATATTTCCTACCGAAAAAAAGTACAATTTTATTGCTGATATAGGGATTGACAGTAACAAAGGCTCAATATGTATAGTTTGCCACCATTGACCATATGTTCAGTCCTCCTCTGTTTGGAATAACTAACAGACCATCTGATCATTTGGGTGAACAACAAAGTGTAGCAGGCTTATGCACCAGCTTACAGATAATCCTGTCCAATTCCAGCTCATCACGCAGGTAATCTCCTGGAGAAGATGTGGTCATTATCTTGTCATGTTATCCTACTGTGTTGTACATCAAGTAGACAGGTGTGCCCAGATAGCAGACCTCGTGACGTACATTACTAGCCTGGGTGCCATACTGGTTAGGTCAGTAATAATTACCCCTGCTTCACCTTGAGATGAGTGACCATCAGTTTGCATGGAAGTACATGTAATTTTAATAGTAAGCCTAACAAGACTGGCAAACAAGGCTATATTTTGTACTTGTAAATATGGCATGCTGTTTATGTTTCAAATTTTCAGAACGTAAAAAATTCTGAGCTATAATGTATGTGATTATTTCACAATTGTCTACACTGTGAATAGTATGAGAAATTGCATTACCACACACTTATCATAAATATCAACCCCCGTCTTTCCTTCTTTACGAAGCATTCCTTTGTTATGTTACAGGCAAATAGTAGGGAGGCTGAAAGCCACAAAATGCTGACCTAATGGATTCTTGCAAAGAACACTAACGTTACAGGATGTTGTACCATCAGATGACACATTCAGACAATGATCAATACACATTCAGTCACACACGTTAAACAGGAGTACGTGAAGCGAGTGATGCAACCCAGGGCCAAGCAAATTGGTTACAAAAAAGACAAAGGCAGGGAGTACAAAAGAAGACGAGCAACTTGCAAGTCAGCAAGTTTACAACTGCAACTTTCAGACCTGGCGCAGACGTTTACGGGCATGAAAACTGAAATTTAAGAATATATATAGTTAGAAGTTACAAAACAGTCTTAAACATCATCTATCATTCATACACATATTAAACAGATCCATAGCTTTCCGCATTTGTCTGTACTCAGTGATATTTCATAAATTTTGGGTAGAAGTTATGGCTAAATCGAAGTTTGACGTCGTCACGCACAGACCCACCTCCAGTTGTTTGTATTCCTCTGCCATAGAGTCCCATTCTTCCATATGATGTGAGAAACTGTTGTCTGAGTCTAGGCTGTCCAAGACGTCCATGGCTACGGGGAAAGTGGGTATACGCGTGGCAGAAATCTAGAAAGCCTGAAGACTGTGGATCACACTAAGGGCGTCTGATCAGCGCGAGCAGAACGGCTGATCCTGGGGCCTCACGCATTTGGTACATAGCTGTTCTTTGCTTCCGTATATTGCTGCCTAGAAAATATGGAACATCTTTGTCCGTGAGTAATACTGAGTATCTAACAAAATATTTTTTAAAATCTTCATCAAATACAAAAATAATATCTATACCGTAGTAAATGATGCTGTACTCAGTGTGTTGTAAAATTACTACAGTAATATTGAGGTTTGTTGATTAAATCAGGCAGTGTACGCAGAAGACAGCAATATCCCTGGGGTTCATCTGTAGGTCAGAGGTCATGTGTGACGAGTTGTGTTGCCATGGCCGCCCAAACTTTGTTTGCTCCCTGTTGATACACCTCGGACAATAGAAAACCAGACATTTTCTTGGATTTTGAGGGACCGTAGAGATTTATATACATCCCAGCTTGAGTCTGAAGGATTTGTAGATGCTCGTTAAAGTCGGGGAGCTTGTGACAAGGAGGTAGCATAGAGTTTGCCACAGCAAAGACGAGATCTAAATTTGCGAGCTGCTTTCCGGAAGTTGAACTGTACTTTCTTGGACAAGTAAAGATGCCACATTTGAAGCAGCCGAGAGCAACAGAACCTTTGTGGAAGTCTTGGGACTTTAAGGCGCAGAAAGCAGGCGTCAGGCATACAGTGTATTCTGTCAACGGGGACCAGTATACGGGAGAATGGCTGGACAACAAGAAACATGGTAACGTACCTTCAACACTTGGGTTTTGTTTTACAACAATATGTTTATCACGATTATAAAATATGCGACTTTTGTTGCAATTTCTCATTGCAAAGACAGTAGACAGTGTTACAAATTTTAAGTATAGCTTGATATGTTGGTGGTTTTAAGTTATTAGAAGCGGGTAGTGTTTACCACATGACAACCAGGCATGTCATTCATGTTATTGTTGTGGTTAGGGGGTGTTGATCACAACATTGATTAAAATTAAAACAACATCCACATTTCACATCCAGATCATTGCGTCTTTGAGTAGCTGTAAACATGTGTATTTCATACACTGATCTTTTCACAGCCTGGGTTTTAAAAGATTGGGCATTTGCACTAATAATATGTTGTGACATATTATAATTGGTAACCCATAGTAGCAATGCCTTGGATATAATTTTTCACAAAAACCCACTAAACAGAAAACAAACAAAAAGCATTTCATTCTGCAATAACGACAGTGTATACATTTCTAACTATATATCAACGCTGTATCATTAATGAAAACATGAGCATTGAACATTATATTAGATTGTTGTACAGCTTTAACATTATATGTGTACACCATGAATAACATCTTATTGCATTGCCTATTGGAAGATTTTAAAAGATGAGTTTAACATTACTGACCAGTACATCTATACCACAGGCAAAGGAACCCAGACGTGGAAGAGGAATGGTGCTATCTATGATGGTGACTGGAAGTTTGGGAAGCGGAATGGCTTCGGCACCTACAGCACCCCCCTGCCTGGAGGGGGGTACAAGAAAATCTACTCAGGGGGGTGGAAAAATGACAAAAAGCATGTAAGTAGTAAAGTTTTTAGTGCTTTTAGATGTAATTTGCAACTGGTGGCTATTAATTGAAAAACGGCACTCCTCTTCATATGGCTATATCAAATACATGTTATGGTGTACATCGTTATATAATACATGTTTGTATGCAACACTACATCTATATATCAAAGATTATGACTAGCTATAGAAATAGCATATGTACAGTTTGCTGACTAAATTATGGCCTTTCACAAATGATTTTTGTAACAGCTTTATGACAGAACTGGACTGACAAACATTAGATAATACTCTAGATAGTATTTTACAGTTGAAACGTCAAAATACTTGTACAGGAATGTGAATTTTCATCAGATAACTAATGACTGTTTCTCCCATCTGCAGGGATATGGCACAAACTTCTACTCAGAAGAGGATTACTATGAGGGTGAATGGTACGCAGACAAGCGCAGTGGCTGGGGCAGGATGTACTACACAGACGGCAGTATATATGAGGGGGAATGGTACGACGACAAACAGAACGGAGAGGGCATGCTCAGACTAGGTCAGTCACATTCTAGGAAGAATTGTAGCATTTCTTAGTGTTTTTAACTCTTAGTACTCTATGATATAGTACTAAGGGTTAAAGACACTATGATATGCAACAATTTCTTTAGTATGGACCAATTTGGTGAGAGTGTACACTCCTCAGAGAGACATAAAATTTGCAAAAAGAAAAAGAACATGATTATTTTTGTTGTTACAAACCAAGGAGCTTTCAACAGAAATCTCATTGCTCCTTGTTACAACACAATGTACGAATGCAAGGTACACGGTGCTTTTGTTTTGTGTAAAAAAAATGTCATTATACTGTTCTTGATGTAAGAGCAGGCCAGTGTACTTTTGAAGTGTATACTATGGTCATCCTCACTAAATAGCTTTTTTAAAGAACACTTGCAAAGGTTAGGTGTGACAAGTCGTTCATTGTAATACTAATAGAACAAGAGGCTGCCTAGCTTGACATGTGCCTGTGAAGCTGGTTATACAAGCTATACAGTATGCTGTACTAATGCTGATATCTTTGTTCATTCCAGCCAATGAGAACAGATACGAAGGCCACTGGAAGGATGGGAAGAAACATGGAGAGGGGAAGTTTTTCTACCTGGACAAGGGACAGATGTACCAGGGTGTGTGGGTGGAGGATGTGCCCAAGTGTGGCACCATGGTAGACTTTGGCAGGGAGGGGGCACCAGAACCAACCGTCTATCCTATACCTAAGGTAAGGGTCAGAACAAAATGTGTGTTATATTGTCCATAGAACAGGGAATAAAGTTCTTTCTGTTCTTGATTACAAGCGTGTAGTGTATTGAGGTAACATCAAACTAGACATGACATGTATCACTCCCTTTCTTAGCTTATAACTCCCGGGTTCAATATTGTTGTGGGTTTGTGTATCTGTTTGTCACTTTGACCACATGTGTGGGGGAAAGATTGACAGGCAGAAATTCGGGTCTCTGGCTGGGAGCCAGTAAGAATTCATGGGGGAATTCAGGAAGCCAAGGTTTACCTCTGCAAAGTCTGAAATCTGATTTTTTGTATGTATTGTTTTGTTTACAGCTGTATCCTCTATCATATGTATCTGTTGGTTGACCAACTGTATTCCCTTTCTTTTCAGCTAACCCTTGCTGACTCAGGAGAAGTTTTAGAAGATGCCAAGGCAACATTTCTACAAGAAAAGGAATAGTTGTGAAGAGACTGAATATGTAACTGTACCTCCAAGTTTTTTAAACTTTCCAAATTTTACAGGAATCATGAAGTAATATGAAGGTATTGGATTTTAAATGATAGCATTTTTACAAACTTTTTACTCCAGACCTACATGTATCTCAACATGAAACTGTTAGAGGAGTACATACTGAACAGTTGCTAAATTATGTGCCAAAATTTCTATTGGCAAACTGGACCTCCATAGAAGTTAGATGCTTTTAAACAGTGTGTATGATGTAAATATGTGTAACATACTAGTCTATAGTATATGGGAATGCCTTTTACCTTTGTACAGAATTTGTAAGGACAATTTAAGATACATTAACCATTGAAAATCATGCTCAATTTGCATTCCATCAAGAATCAGTGTAAACAAAGCAAATATTCATCAAAGCAATATGAAGTCAAAAATTTCCAACAGTGCTCAGTGTTCTTGAGTCAATATTATGTTGAAATACATAATGGACTAGAATGTGTATTTGAGCGACTTGTCAAATTGCGCCTTGTTATTAAACAAGCTTGAAAGAACATCATTTAAATACAGTGTGTATATTGCATCTAATATTTATTACATTTAATTAGGAGGTTTGGGGAATTTACTATATTTTCATGACCACAAAAGACTCATCTATTTACATTTTCTTCCATCCAATCAAGTACACCAGACAAAAGCAATTTTGATCTTCATTTTATTGCCCAGTGTCATGTGAAATATTGACATTTCTGCCCCACATTTAAACTTACACAATTTGAGTTGGTCCTCATGTTATCATACCAAACAATGAAATCTCTTAAAAATATATCTCATACCGCCAGCACAAAAACTAAATAAAACTATTTTCTAAAAATCTTTCTAATTTTGATAACTCTTATTATATCACGGATCTATCTGGTTTGAGGTGGACATAAATTTGATGCATGTAACTTTTTAATATTTAGTATTTTTGTATACTTACATTCATATTTCTTACACAAGTATTGGCAATACAAAACTAGAGTATATATATAAATATACATGTACAAAAGTGGCACAATTGAAGCAGCACACAAAGCTGCTAAAGTTTCAGTATGACAAGGTCTATATTGCAAACATTTGATTGTATTGCAGGTGTTTGGCAAAAAAATCTACATTATTGCATCTATCAGTAGTACAGTATCTATTGGGAGTTACAACACAGTTTCCATTGAAAATAAATGACTAGGTTACATATTGCGTTGAACTGATATAAAGTGAAACATCTTACAGAATTGTATATGCAGGTTTGGGGATAAAGAAATGGCTTTGTTGTTTTCAAATATTAAATAAATGCAGTTTGATTGGAGGTAAAGCTAAGTAACTAAAATGAGTTCATTGCCCTTAAAGGTTAAGAGGAAATACAAGTATCTTTTACTTCTAGGGTTTGTAGTCTGATCGTCCCAACATGCATCTAGCCATACCACCTAGCAGATGCTACTTGTATTGCAGTAAGACTTGTCCAACTGTTATATTTAAGTCTATGTTAGATTTTGTCTTGAGTCTACTTCATGATTGTCAGGAACCATAGATGAATGTTTGTTTCAAATCTAAAACTTTCCTCCAATTGAGTGCAACAATTTTCCTTCTCAACTTTGATGACAATTTTACACAGCACAAGAGATGTAAGTATTTTTTCATTTACACTTAAACAACATGCAGAGACTGAACATTCCTTTTTTGCAACACATTTGGAAAATATTTTTTTACAGACAGAACTACATGTACAAACAAATCACAAACAAAAACGTCCACAAATATAAATTTGGCTCATCATTAAAAACATCACCTTTAGAATCACAGATTTTCAGGCTTGTCATTTTCATCTGAAACCAGAACTAGAAAAAAAATATTCCACTTATATTTTTTTACCCATTCTACACATCCTCCAACATCCTTCCAAAAGTGGAACAGGACTTATTTTACACGTCCTCCACACGTGGACCATTGTCCTTGAGTTGGGTGGCCATGTTTTCCAGCTCCATCAGTCCCTGTGCTGACCGCTCGTACTTGTGCACCACCAGCGTACGGTAGAAATGCACCGCGAAGGCCACGAACAAGATGAGCACGGGCACGAGGATACCGGTGGATATGATGGCGGCCCACGTGCTGAACTGGTAGAACTTGACCCACATCAGGACCGCGATCTCCACCAGGAACAGGAAGATTCCGAGTCCGGTGGAGAAGCACCACGCGACTTCGATGAACACGCGCATGTGCTCGTGCGGCGACTCGTTCACGGCCGTGATGTTGTGCACGTTGCTGACGGCCTCGATGTTTGGGAGAATACAGGTGCTGATCATGAGGGCGAAGAGATGCACGGCCACGAGGATGGTGGTGACCACGCTGAAGGAGATGAAGAGACCCTCAGGGACTTCATCATGGCTGGAGAAAAGAACCTTTAGTTACTGACAGAAATCTTCTCATAACCTTCAGGCTCTTTGGAGCAACATGAAAGTGTAGTTGGGCAAACAGTAAGAGTAACCTAATTTGCTTTTCATGGCACTTACCAATCAAATATAATACAATACAATACAATACAATACAATAATGTAAAACATAAATCATAAACAAAACATGCTTTATACATGTTCGTTGACTTCAATTATATTACATTCAAATACTATCTTATATTTAGGCATTTCTTAGGTACAGAATGTACATAAACTCAGAGACATTGTACCTTGATAAACTGAACTTACGTGTCATCACCCTTCTGTAGCTGCACTTCCACCATTGCAACCTAGGGGGCGACCAGAGAAGAATGCTTCTGTCAGGTTCAGGATTTGTTGGCATTTACACAATTTACTGGTGTACTATGGTCTTTGGCAACTTTACCTTATATGGCTTCACAACAGGATTGTGGGGGTATTGCTGGATTGAACATACAAAATCCGAACAACTAAACGTTAGATGAATCATTCTGCCGGCATTTGTAAAATGTTGGAAGGTAGTTGTAGCTGTCTGTACTCTAGACTTTAGGTCACTGCATATACACATGACAAGGTTAGCATCTGTAATAAAATACCTCATTTTAAAACAATGTTTGATAGTCACAGTCACATCATACGTCTGAAGTAAGTTGTGTACTTGTGCAAGGTGTGATATTATAAAGATTGGGTATACAAAGTATCAACAAACAGTTGCAAGTCTGACAGCTGGTTAACGTTGTTACGTATTTTGATAGAAAGTGTAACTAAGTTAAGCCTTCAAGTTGCTGAGATTCTCATACCAGAAACAACGTTAACATGAGACTATCATCTAAGAAGGTCAAGTTGATTGAGAAGTCGTAAAAATATTTATTCCGTGTCTTCCACACCAGTGCACATCACTGATGAATCAGCCATCACGCGTCACGTTTTGCCGTTAGCGCCATCATGCCCCTCCCCCTAAAAAATAAAACCTCGGTCAAAAACCTTGTTCACTATTTCCTCACCATTGCAAACCCGGACAGCAATGCCGACGTCCTGCTAGCAGCCTTGAGCTTGGCTCGGCTGAGATATAACCGCCTCCAGGACAGAGCCTGTACCGTGTGCTCCTCTGCCATGACTTTTGCGTAGCTCTGCCTCAACCAGTCGGCGTAGCTTTGCGGCTCAATGGTGACTGTCAACAGGGCTGACACGTCAGACAACAAAACCTGAGGAAGCGATCCACAGGCCAGAAATCCACAGAACGGGTCCGATAATTACCGGACTGGCAAAATGCTACCAGGCGACTAAAAATTTACCAAAATACCGAATTTTTCGTTCACGGCTGCTACCATTTCCGGCAATATTTACGTAGGGTTGTCTGTAAATAAAGTGCCTTTTTAATACCATGATACCTGCACTTTTTGTCCTAGATAACTAATTATACTGCAAAAGACGTAATGCTCGAGAAAAGAGGTGTAAATTTGATAACATTGGTGTCGGTTATGTCTAACTGGATTCAAAATAAGTAACATTTTTATCATAGTACAAAGGACTATTTACGTTGGACAGCTCTATTTTTGGGAGGTCTGTTCCCTTCCCAGCGTCCCCCGCGCGCGGAGACGATTAGATATGCAAATGTGGTGACGTCACGACCTTGCCTGGTACACAAAGTTGGTCGGCAAATCCGGTGTCGGAGGCCGGAGGGGTCACTGAACTGCGAGATTTCGCCTATTTTGGGTGATTTTTACCCAATACTGCAGAGTTTGGCCCCATTTCGCATACTCTGTAATGGAAAGCAAGTCAGGCTCTGGCCGCCAGTTGGTTTGTAGCGTTTCTAGTAGTACAATAGCTACGACTAGTTTATGTATGGGCTGTGTCTATGTACAGACTCAGTGGGAGCTGCCATCTTGTAGTTCCCAAAAATATGTCCATTGTCGCCCTAATCGAACATTTTCCGTAATTCTGGGAGATAACCATGAATGTAGATATTTTCCATGTTGTTTATATATCGTAGGTTTGATTGCAAAGTTGAGTTTTGCCGTTTTCCGTTAGCGACTTTTTTGTTTTCACGTCGACTGTAGCGAGCGTGTGGGAAAACGATCACGTTGTGTGGCTGTTCACTCACGATGTACCAAATTTGTCGCTCGCCGCAGAAAACTCAACATTCCTTATTTTAACCCAAAACTTCATTTAAATCCACTAGAAAGCTTCACTGATGCTATTGATTAAAGTTTTGGGTGCTCAGAATTAACAATCTGTGATATTTTTCGAGTTGTAAGTGAGCTTCATGTACTGAAATTCTATGTTGTTAGCGTATTTGCTGTAGTGTGCCTATTCTTCGTAGCTATCCGTATTTATCGCTTGGACCTGAAATGTTAAAATAGCCAACTTTAGTCCAAAATTGTATACAAATCCACCAGAAAGGACTATTTTCACTGGTGATCGATGTTTTGGACGTTGTACGTTCGTAGATGGTGAGATTTTCGTAGTTGTAACCGAGCTACATGTTGCGATGTGCACTCAGTGCTGTAGGTGTAGCCTATTTCACAACACAAGTTGATGCGCTGTTCGAATTTTGGCGCTTGCAGATTCGCCTTTCGCATTCGTGAAGTCAAAATCCTTCATTCTACCCCAAATCTTGGTTTAGATCGAGCACAAAGGATCGAAGTTACCCACAATCGGTGATTTGAGTGTCTACACCCCCTAGTTTTCGTGATTTTACGTAATGTAACTGAGCTACATGTTACGGGCGTTCATGTCATGGGGGTACCATTGTGCATTAGTTTTAAATTTTGGCGCTTTAAATTCGTCTCAAAAGTCTCCCCTGCGCTAAAACTTCGCCCAGGTAGTCGAATTAACACCACTAATCACCCCATATGCTGAAATTAGCGTTAATAAGTGGGAATGGTGGACTATGAAGAATAAGGACGGATTTTTATATCCCCATGTACATCTCGGAGTGTGGTACGTGATCGGGAGCTGTGCCTGTGTGTAAATAACCTGCATGTAGGCTCCAGTACCGACACAGTTTCTAAACCTCTGCCCTCGGAACAACCTTTTTTTCTAACAACAACTCCCCTGAGTCTAATGGAAGTATAGTTTAACGCTGAGTGTTATATGAAGATAATGTGTTAGAGTGAGAAATATCCAGAAACATCGCTGTGTACGTGTTGGGCCATATCTCTGCATTGGTATATACCATGATGCCCCCTTGATGGTGTGTTTCAACTACTCAGCGGGCCAAACCACCCAAACACTACGACGACGAAGAGGAAATCGAGGATGAAATCGAAGGAAAAAGGACCTTCAGCGTCGAGGAAAAGCTCAAGTCGGATAGATTCACCGAAGACTTCGTCGAATACATGGACGGAACGGGTAAGATGCAGTGAAGGGAAAAAAAAAGAAAACTTGGTCCAGGACACTTGTTAATACGTCTTTGTGATAGTCAAGGGTTTGAGACAGGCTACGATCTGTGAAAATTATCAAGTTTTCGCTGTTTTGGATGTTGAAACTTGAAAATCGTTGTACACTCCTTGTTTTTAATGCAAATCAAGTGTTAAGGAGAATAGATCGTATTGTTATTGTTCAAAATGCAGAAATAAATATTTCGCTCGGTCATCGCGTGTGTCACGCATTTAATGTCGAAAAATTTATATAGATAAAATGTCAGTTTTTACTATTTTGGCTATTACGAAGATTATGAGACGGGATTGGTTTGGATTAGAATTTAGATTCGAAGTTTGCGACTTCTGTCGAACTTGTGATTTCGAAATTCTTGACGCCCCTCCCTCCGTCGCAAAACTTGCTGACATCGTAGGAATTAATACATGTTGTTGATTGATGATCGATGTTTCTAGTCTGATTTTCGTTGTTTATTTCCAAACAAATCACCGATATTTCAAATATGCATGCAGGAATAGGGCATTGTTTTTTTTAGGAATGCAGCAGAAAATGTCGTAGTGCAATCGGCGGAGTTGGGCATATATATAGTATATGTATACGTCCAGACGGGGAAGTTTTTTTTTTTTGTCGTACGAAGATTGTACGGAGGATGAAACTATTCACTAATATTCTTAACTCTATCCGTCACCTATCAAAAACAGTAATAAAATATATGGATCAAAATCTATTACTGTCATGCATGTTGCCATTTGACATCGATGTATTCGGCGATTTAAAGACGATTATTTAGCAGTTTTGAATTTGACGCAGTTGATACGACGTCTTTGTAGAATTGCAAGGTGGTGGTTAGGTGTAATGAATAAATTAGGTCTGAAGACAATTTGGCCAAGTGCCGAAGACGTTGTCACGTGTCTTGAGGCTCAAGCCAAGACATGGTACTTATTGTTCTCGGGTATACTAGTATGTCGGGCAAGGGGTATTTGGGATAAATCGTAAAGTGCAATATGATGTGAGGAATAGGTTTTCTTTCGAGAACGTTGGTTGTAGAGTGTTTTGATCTCGATTGTACGTAAAGTCGAATGCCGAAGGGTCCGCAAGTGTGGTGTATCGGGGTTTGTCGAATTCACCTGAAAGTGTACATAAGTCTATACGTATTACGAGGGAATGAGCCTATACGTATCACTTGTCAAAGTCATCGTTTGAAGCACATGTCATAGCGGGTATTCACAAAAACGGCTAGCCGCAAGCGGACAACGGGTTTCATTCAGTGTGTTTTTTTTTCTTGCCCGATCCACCCTTGTGCATGCGCGCGTGGGAGAGCACAATAGGTCTCGCTGCATGAGTTGTGCTCGGTTTGCCAATTCAGTATTCAAGCGGAGGGATATTATTCTTCCCATCCTCTTTGTCTGAAACACTCAGTGTTTCCGAAAGTCTACCAAAATATGGAATTTGTATTTAAGATTAGCCTGTTTTTTTTAAATAGACGATGTACTACTACTAGAGTTGTATATTCGTCTGCGTTACATGCGATGTAGATTTGACAACTGCATGTGTTATTCTCGTTTAACCATTATTGTTGTGCATGTGTTTTGCCGTACATCATGTGGCTTGGTTGATGAGTGTTTACGTCGCGATCGTAGGAGGCGTATTTCTATTTTCATTGTTTTTGTGTGACGACGTATGTCTGATCACACGGCGCATGGTTCATACAGTATAAACCTTGTCAGCGTGTACCCACGTATCATCACGTATAAACGTAACATTTCCTCCAATCTTTCTTTCTCTTCTTCACAGATTTCGGCTTGAAATACTTCCAGAAAAACGGCTTCCACAATCCAATATGTTTCAAGAACAAGGAGGGGCTCGGGATCAGGTAAGGTTTTTACTACAAGTCAGCTTCCCATAATTTGTAAGTCAAAAATCACTATCGCGTACATGCTTGATGTGTTCCCTTTGATTAAGGTCGCTAAATAGCGTTTCGCGGTGACTTGTTTAGCGTTTTTAACATATTTAGATCCTATTTTTGCTTGTTTCAACAGGATACCTGGTCAGGAATTCAACGTCAACGACGTTCGACAGTTCGTAGGTAAGTGTCGTCTTCACGTCAAACTTACGTTACGTTAACCGGTGTTGTTGAACTCGATAGTTCCAATGATTGCGTGACAGTAAAATTTATATTGCTGCGACTTGGCGTCAAGCGGTGAATATTGTTTTCGCTTCTTCAAATTTGACCCACAGAGATGGCTTAACACTGTTTCAGGATACGAACTTGTGTTGTCTCTGGTGTTACGTATTTAATCAGTAGACGTGGATTTCTACATGCCCGCCTGGCGAACTGTCAGCCTTTCCTGTGGCATGATTTAATGTTTCCGATCGCTGCTTGTAAAGGTACCAGTGTTCGGTACCGCGGTTTGGAGGGTGTCCGCTGGGACACAACAGTCTGTCATGTAAACCGGCCATTCATTTCTCCGTATTACCGACTCCACGTTGTCTTCGCTTGAGGTTTGATAATGTTTTCTAACGTTGGCAGACGTCCATTGGCGTGGAGAAAGATTATTCGCCATTCTACGTGATATATTTGCAAGGGCCTGGCAGTCTTTCCGTATACCGTGTTTTTCTTGCTTTATTGTAAACATATCATAACTACGTGGTCATAACATCGTATCATTTCTTTCGATTATAGATTTTTGGAATTAGACATTTCATGTTCATAGATATATCGCCAAAAGCTGAATTTTCTTCTCAATATATTGTTATTTGTTTGTAAATACGATGGCTTCGTTGTTCAGTACAATACGCTGTAAATAATAGGCACCGAAGTAGACACTTTTCCCATCGTTGCGTTGTCAAAAATTACGCGCTCAGATTTAGCTGTATGATAAGGTTGGACATTTGTATGATATCGTCGCATGATGAACGAGAGAAAGGGCAAGGACGTAACCACAGGGTCTGGCTGTGTGAGGAAACTCCATTTTTTTCCATTCATCAAACGGAAAAACCTAAACGTTTGAAATATCACATACCGGGAAGATTGAATACAACGTCGAGACGTTACGCTACTTGTCTTATAAGATTAAGACTAGCATGAAAGACGAAGAAGAGCTTGCTGTAAGTCAGTGTTCGTTTTTATTACCCCCACTGGCTTCAGGTCAACCTCTACGCGTGTCTAAACTGTGAAATGGTTCAACTTGCGTTAAAATCAGTAGTTATGTTCAAAGGGCACACACACGTATGAACTAACTGATGATAAGCCATAGCGGATATTTTAGATACTAGTATGATTTTCCTATGTATTTCTCTGGGTAGAATATTTGTGGTGATAGAACGTGATCGCGCGCACGTTAGTGATATATTTTTGTGGTGTTGTGTTTGTGGGAGTGTTTGTGGTTTGCTCTCCCGTCTTTTGTCGCCCCTTTGTTCCTTGAATGTGTAATTCCTCAGTGTTGTTTACGACATGATGGCACTCTTTACAAGGCAGTGGCGGCAGTGGTGAATCATTAACACGGGGGAGAGATTCTGTAGCGTACCGGTGTACGTGTGTGTGTGGCGGCCAAGCAGAGAAATTCGATCGCGCGTATTATGCATGCATACAAACATGTTCCTTTGAAAGCCGGAGGGCCCGAAAAACCTGCCATAATGACACGGGTGTTGTTTATAATCCAGCCTAGTCAGGTGATAACGGGGGGTCATGCATATCCTACATGGTCCGAGCGGACACAAATCTACCCGGGGACACACCGCAGGCACCCCGGCGGGGTCTGGGACGTCCGTCCCCGGCTGACGAGAGGGTTTACGTCCGCTCGTTTTTCGACGTCCACGCCCGAGCGAACTCTGGAGAGCTAGCCGGCCAGCCGCCGTGTTTTGGAGGGGAACGGAAAATCAACACGCGGTCAAAGGTCGCGCACGTCTCTATCGACGCTATTTGCCGAGGCGCTACCTAAACACTGAGCCGACCCACACTGAGCCTACTCTCCAAGCAGAGGTGTAGGTTTGGGCTTATTTTTGGCGTGTTTTTCAGCGTTTTTTTATCGGGGTTTCATCATGAAAAAAGATTCCAGGACAAAGAAGAAACCACGATTTAAAAAGCCTCAAAACGCGCCACAAATGAGCCTAAAAATACGCCAAAAATAAGCCAAAACCCAAACCTCTGCTTGGAGAGTAACGGAGCCGGGCCTAGCCTCGCTACCTCGCACGGGTTATTGTGTGGAAGCCCCGGAGTCGTGGTTAGATTATCCGCCTGCGCGAGCCTGATACGTTACCCTGCGCCGCCAGACTTAAATCTGATACCGTCCTCACACCTGCAATTCATTATCTTCTGACAGCTCTGCCCTGCAAGGTGCTCTGTGCTTCACCTATGTGGACAGTACTACCACAGTACCAGTACTACAAGCTTTCTACGTATGCAATTGCGTTTGAGATAAAATACGGTGTGTTGAACACTGTGTTCTTAGATTGGTCTCTGATAAACGTTTGCATGGCATGTCCAACATTTGGTCATTTTTCACCAACACAAACACTAAACGCATTTGACAGCGGAGGTCTTTGCCCAATTACTGTGTGCGATATACAATATTATTATATATACAAAATTCACTTTAACAATTTTTCGCCAGACCCATTGCAGTCCTTATCTTTAACGTAGGTTTTATGAGTGTGAATGTTACATGCCTTTATTATTTTAATACCTGAAGTTTGCTGTAAAATTGACGATCAGGCAAAATTGGTTTTATTACTGGCCAATCATTACAAAACATTTTGGATTGTACGAAGAACAATAACAATCCAACCTGCTACAACTCATTAGCATGAGCCAATGGCGTACAAGCAGACACGAGAACAGTACTGTGCTGACATTGAGGCACTACAAATGTACAAACACGCATATCCTAAGAAGCCTTGCCTTGTTCTACCCCTACTACTCGAAGACACGCTGTTTGAAGATTACACAAATGGAGACCCTTTGAGGCTGCTAAGGCTAAGAAAAAGGCACCCAGGTTCTTTACTTGAGTCCATTATAGAATGTCTTTTGACCCTGACCGGCGGGCGACAATGGTCGCGACCTTGCCGTCTGGACCCCAAAGCCGCTTGTGGCGTTTCAGATGACCTTGTCTCTTTTACCTAGATGGCTGCTTAGTCAAGGTGTAGTCGTTACAGCCATTGCTTTGTGATGGTCTTTAGTATGTTATTACTTCTTATTTGGTTATTCCTTGAAGGATTTAAGGGAAGACGTTGCGAGTCTTGCGGCATGTGGCGGTGTCTGCCGTGGCTGTGTGAAGATAGATGTCTCTCGCATGCACCACGGCGCGGAACCAGGCCGTGCGTGGCCGGGCCATTTAATGGCGAACACCCGGTCCCTTTAAAAACCCCTGCATGCCCCCTTTTCGATCGATAGTATCGAGTCGGAAACCCCCATAGGGGGACCGACGTGGTCTTGTCGTTCGTTGTTGAGTTCCTGTGACCGCACATGTTCTTTGTGCAGACCTGGTTGGCATTGCGGTGGTAAAAACGCTGTACCTTCACAATGTACCAGCAAATACTGTGTCGCACGTACACACCATTCGTCCATACTAGGTTGTGGTTGTATCTGATATATCCCGAGGCTGTATACTCTAGACGACAGCATGGCATTTGTGTAGATGCCGCTAGCGAGCACAGTTGTACCCACGATCTGCACAACTGGGCATGCCGATTTGTTTCGCTTCGCCCTGGGGTTTTATGGCTTAGCGCGCACTGAAACAACAACTACAAATCACATGGTCTTGCTGTAAAATAATTGAACACAAGTTGATAGTTTCTTGTAATCTCCAAGTAGATGGCTGGTGGCTGCAAGACAGTATGAAATTGGCAAGACAGTATCATATTGGCAGGGCTGTATCCATTTAGATCTGCCATCCTTTTGGCAGGCGTATAATATATAAAAGATTCAGAAAATGAAAGCCCGATAAAAACGCATAAACACGTTTAAAACATAAGCCGGAACCTATACCTTTACTGGGAAAGTGTTTATTGGGAACTGTCCTATTGTATAATATCCGGCCGATGTTACATCGGTGCTTCTTACACCACAGTAGATTTTCAGGAAATGAGGGAGGCGGATGTGCAGAGAATAGCAGACTTCTTTCCGTATATCTTTGTTACATGGTAAGGCGCAATTAGAGAGCTGTAACACCGTTTGTGTGCTTTAATCCGACACAATCCCGCTCCGTAAGTACTGCAGAATCCAATTTTCTGTCGGCGGTACGGGCTGGCTGGAGATGAAGAGCCCCGACAGAGCGCCCAGATCCGAGCCGTAATTTGCCGGGCTGTTCTACATGTATGTAGTAGGCAGGGCTCATGACAATGTATGATGTGGTTTACACACACTAGTATCGTCATGGGTTAGACGGCGGAAAAAACAGGTGTACATGTTGTTGTCATTCGCTTTTCTTTTCATTTGCACTTGCAGTTGGGTATAGGGATCGCACTTGTACTTGTTGTCATGTTTTGTTCTCTCCACGTTGTCATCTTTTTGTGTCAAAGTGAAACAATGCAAGCACCTGTCGTTTTTTTTCGGTTTTTGGATAAGAGACATGCAAAGACAGACATATATTGGTGCCAAACTCTAGTTTACAAAACTTATGGTGATACCACCACTACACTAGTATACAAGAGCATAAGTGAGCATAAATAGACAAGATTTTTGTTTTCAATTTACGGAATATGAGCCGCCTAATTGCAAAAAAAGGATAACGAGAGGACGACTGATAAGAAATGCAGGACCGGGATTTGAACTCGAAACCTTTAGCATATTCTAAATACGATACTGCATTCGTCTCCATTACAGCGTCACATAAGTGTTGACGCCCTTGGATGATGTACTATTTAATGCCGTGGGGTTGTGCGTGTGTGATAGTTTTGTTCTGTTGAATCGTTGGAGTCAAAATATCCTACTAATCTTTGAGGGTCGTAGTCGAAGGTCAAGCCTTAAACATAGACCACGGATGTCCCCAGACACAACCAGAAAGGGTATGGAATCGGTCACTACTTCCGTCAGACTCAACAAATGGTAACATGCACTGGGGAAAACGCACGCTCTGGATAAATGTA